AACTTGGGACCTTTTGTTTGTGAAGCAGGTGGCGAATCCACTGAGCTAAATCCCTGGCCCGACATCTGCATTTTTAATACGCAGTCTAACACACTGATGCTAAGGCAGGCAGTCTGAGAACTACATTCTGGAAATGCCACTCAAGCCCTAGAAAATTTCACTGGATGATGGAAAGCATTCTGTGAGGCCTCCTTGGGAATAACTAGGTGCTCTTTTCCCCTATGTGAAACTCCAACAATGCTGACTATATGTGAAAGCATATTTACCAGTCAAGAGTAAAACACATGTTGTGCCGGGGATATGAGCTCAGTGGCAGAGCACTTGCGTGGAAAAAAAAAGCTACTTAAATCACAATGCTATCAAAATACATATATTAAAAAAAACAGGAGCTGGGTGTTGTGGTGCAAGCCTGTGATCCCAGCACTCTGGGAGGCTCAGGCAGGAGGATTAACAGTTTGAGTACTGCCTGGGCTACTTATTGAGTCTCAAAGAAAAATAAACAAATAAAAAAGGGCTGAGGATGTAGTTCAGAGTGAAGGCCCTGGGTTCAAACCAGGTACTGTGGGAAAAAAAAAAGATACCAAATTATGCCAGTAGTTACGTAAAGATGGAAAGATTACAGATCATTTGTCTTCCTCAAACCTCATATAATGCAGTTATATTGCACTTGTTAACTTTAATTTTTTTTTTTTTGGTGGTACTAGGGATTGTATGTGTTAACTTTAAAGTTTTTTCTTTTGTAATGGGGATCGAACTCTGGTCCTTGTGCTTGTGCAGCAGGCGGCAAAACAACTTTAAAGTTTTTTAAAAAAAACAACCAAATATTGAGATATCAAGCAGGTCCATGTCTTCCCCAAGTGCTTTGTTGTGTGGTTTTGTGTAAGGAGAACCCCAGTCTCACAATAGGAAGTAATTGTTCTTTAGCACTGGAACAGTCTGTCTAGAACATACCACAGTGTCCAAGGCTTGAGGCCTCCACTTGCTCTTTGGCTTTGACCTGACCTCCACTACAGTTGCCATGGGATCCTACAAGACCAGGAAAGCAAAGACCACATTAACTTGGGAGTGTATTACCTTCAATCTGCTGCAGCAGCCCTTGTTCACTATTTCAGATTCCAATGACCGCCAACAGAGATCACAGCCTCGGCCCAGCAGTGTCCCATTTAAAGTCATTTGTAATGGACAGTATGGTAGACTCCCATCACCCTCTTCTCACTCAAAACAAGATTTTTTCTTGTACCAGGGATCGAACTCAGGACTTTGAGCTTGTGAGGCAGGCATTGATGCCACTGAGCTAAATCCCTGGCCCTCAAACCAAGATTTTGAAGGACAGCTTTATAAACCTTAAGCTGCCTGTTCCAGAGTCAATGGAATGCTATCGTCTCTGGATCTCTTGAGTAGTTTTTTACTGACACATGGTCTTCAGAATAGTTAAAAATACGAAAAATTAGGGCCGGGGATTTAGCTCAGTGGTTTTGATGCCTGCTGTGCAAGTGCAAGGACCCAAGTTCAATCCCTGGTACCAAAAAAAAAAAAAAAAGTAAAAAAATTATACAAGCTGGGAAAACTAATCTTAAAACCAACCTCACATTTTAAAAAGATTGTAAATACTCAAAACACTCAGCTTCAGTTATTTTTTAATGAGATTATTTGTATAACATAATCCAAATTTCTCCTTTCCTATAGACTGGGGAACCAATCATTCTTTCTAAGGAGTTAAAAATATGCCACCTGCCCCATATTCCTGCTCCATATCCTGGTGAATGAGCAGCAGGACGGGATCTATTTATTTATTTATTTAAGGTCTTTTTATTTAATGTATAAATATGTAGTGTTTCAGAGACTCCAGCTGGTCTAGGGTGAGAAGGTGGAGTGGTAGACAGGGTGAATCCTAGGAAATGATGGACTCACAGCAAGAGCACAGATATACTGGGATCTAATCTAGTGGCCAGCGCTCCATCTCCAAATAGCTCTAGGATATCTGTGAGTTACATTTTCATCTTCCTACTCTGAAATGGGCATGGTATCATGGCTGTCATGGGATTGTAAGAATGAAACAAAATTCATTTAATAAAGTGGCACATAGCAGGTAATTAATAGTTTTTATTTCCTTTTTCAAAGTAATAATAAACCTGCCAGAGCATATCACAAATTATCAAACCTAGAGCTCTGTGGATCTTAAGATACCACTTTGTGCAGCCCCAGGTTAAACCAGGCAATTAGGCGCTGACCTACAGGAAGCGGCACCACACAGTGGACTGTCTGCCAGAGGGTCAGATATGTGAAGGCGGCATCCTAATTCTGCCACTGACTGACCTATGGCCTAAGCTGACTGTGGCCCTTTGCATGTGGTGCTCTAAAGGATATGCTTCCCCTGCTCAAAGGTCACCCGTAAAACCACTTCATCTAAAACAGTCTGCATCCTGCCCTCATGCCATTCTCTATTCCTTTATCTTGCTTTATTTTCACCCTGGCATTTATCACTGTATGAAATTAATCTGTGAAAGTCACAAGTAATTTAACTTGTGAATTAATTTATGAAAATCATTTGTGATTTTTATCTCTGTAGATTTCCTCATGGGATCAATGGAAGAAGGTTGGACCAGATGCCCTTTGGAGCTCTAGCAGTTCACGGCCTAGATAGGTCTAGCTGACACTTTCTAATTTCTGACAATGATATATCAACAGGAAGGATTTCTGCTATACACTTGTCAAAATGTGTGTACTTTTAGTACTATTTTCATGGGGTTCTACATCTTTCTGGTCCCCAGAAAGTGATGCCCTGAGATGCAAACTAAAAACCAGTGGGAGAACAGGACAAGATCACCTCTGACAACAGAGAGGGCAGGGCTGGGGAGGTGCACAGAATGTTTTCTAGGTCATTAAGCTCTCAAAGGACTCCTTACCTCCATACACAACTGATAGAGGACAAGACAAGCTGTATGGTTAAACAGACGATGCCTTTTCCAATTGAAATCTACAGCACCATCTTCGTGGTCATGAGTTACTACATTGGGGAGAGATAAACAGAAGGGCTGTTTTAGAGAAGCCACAGACGCAACAGACAGAAAAAAGAGGTATTACAGTGAAAAATCAAAGGAATTTGAAACAAGGAACAGTACTAGTTAACTAAGAGAAACCTAAGCAGATTCTGAATATTATACTTGATCTTAGGCAAAAGGCTGAGAAGCAATAGTAGATTCTGAGTATTATAATGGAGCAGGTTGAAGGGGAGTGAGGTGAAAAAAAAAATCATACATTTAATTAGTGTTATTAAAGCTCACAATCTTTATCCTTGGATCTGGAGGTCCCACATCAACAATCTCCAGCCTTACCTTTGATTCTGTGGAAGATTTCTGGCACAAAGGCCTGAATGGCTTTGAATCTTTCCACCACAAAGCCCAATGTGGGAAACTGGCAGCTGCCATAGCTGATGAGCTGCTCGGCCAGCACTTCAGGAAAAACCTTCTGGAGCCGCAGGGTCTGGAACCGAGTGAAGGCAGCTCCTGGGAAGTAAGGGTGGAGGGAGGGAAAGAATGAGAAAGTGATGAATGATGAGGTCACTTCTGGTTCTATAACCCAAAACCAACATGCTACACGGGCCATGGCAGGGCACGTCTAGCTCCTCACCGATCCTCAGGTCCAGCTCCTGCCTCACATCCACAGCATCACTCACTCTCTGATCTGGCTCAGTCAGGTTTTCACAGGCTGTCCTGACAGCACCGGGGGTGATCTCAGAGAAACGGGCTCTTAACACCTGCAGACTGGGCTTCACTGCAGAACACAAAGGGTCACTGAGGTCAAAGTCAATCACACTGCACTCTTATCACAAACGCCGCACTTTGCCTAAACTATATCAACTATTAGCTTAGATTGATGGTGTGGTGTACAGTGTGAAAAAGGGAGACATCACTGTAACTTCTAACCTGAGTGTTGGACTTGACAATGGAGTCAATTTTAGTTATTAACTAAAATTCTCTGGGTAAGCCTTTTAATCTTACTTGCAATCAGCCCTTTAGGGAAAAGAAAAATGCTGTCAATTAAAAAGTCTTGTGGGGGATTTCATGTCCCTTCAGGAAAGAATATAGGACATATACATTGTCCTTGAAAGTAGATACACTTTAATTCCTAGGAGTCATTACAGTTTCTCAAAACATAACCACTTAGGAAAACCAGCAACCCTACTGTATGAGCCAGAGAGTGGCCTGTTCCCTGCTTCTCTAAGTTACCAGAAAGCACTACCCTCTTAGAGCTGTTCATTTTAAGCCAACATTCATTCACTCATTTATTCATTTATTGAGGTGCTATGGATAAAACCCAGGGGCTTGCACAGGGTAGGCAAGTGTTCTTCTATAACTGAGCCACACCCTAGCCCAGCAATTATTTATTAATTTATTAACAGACACTATATATAGAATATGGGTAGGCTGGGGATTTAGCTCAGTAGCACCATGCCTGCCTCGAAAGTGCAAGGTCCTGAGTTTGATCCCTGATACTGCAAAAAAAAAAAAAAGAATACGAGTGATTGAAAACACAGAATACAAGGGCCAGGGATTTAGCTCAGTGGTTTCACTGCCTGCTGCGCAAGTGCAAGGACCCGAGTTTGATCCCTGGTACCAGAAAAAAAAAA